CGCGAGCACTGCGGGCCTGCCTACCCGGAGCCTGGACGGGACTCCAACCGGCCGGGCCGGGCCGGTCGGCTGGTCCACCTTGCGTGTTGGGCCCGGGCCGGCGAGCTGCGCGCGTTTGGATTTATTGAGTGACGGCTGACGGCTGACCCGCCACGCCCCTTCGGCAGACCCCCCGGGAGGAGCTGCTGCGGCAGGAGGAGGGCGGGGCTGGCGGGTGTGAAACTGCCGACCGGACCCGGGGACGGGTCGGTCCGGCCCATATGAAAGTCGTTTGCATAACGCTATGGATTGATTTGTGCTGCCGCAGAGGGTCGGGTGGGCTGGCGGGCCGGGCGGGGCGGGGCGGGCGGCGGCCCCGTGTTGGGCCCGTGTGGTGGTGTGGAGGCGAGGCGGCCTTATCGCAGAGTCCTCGTGGCTCGTGACGTGTGTCGCGCTGCTTCCGCCGGCCTCCTCTGTGTGGTGCGGGACTTCCCCTCGCTGTCCCATATCACCCTGATGTCTGTCTGGCTTTTGTTCCTGCCGCTGCTGCTGCTGCTGCTGCGCCCGATAACTAAACGACGCACCGGCGTCCGCCTCGAAAATGATGGACGTCTTGTCGATCGGGCCAAGCCCGCGAGGCCAAACGGGACGGACCTGCTGCTGCTGCAGATGGTGGAGGCTGCCTGTCGCCCCCTCCTCCTCCTCCCTCCCCCTTCTCCCCTCCCATCCAAAAGCCTCACGGCCAGCTGCCGCCAGCTGCGCTCGCCTCACATCAGTGTCTGCTGCAGGTGCAGCATTCTCTTCCTTATCCGGCACACACGGGAGAGAGGAGAGGCGGGAGACATTAGGAGGGCCATCTCGGTCCCGGCCCCACTGCGATGTTAGGGGGAGGCGGTCAAAGGGCGCCACAACTCTTTCCCACTCCCGGCCAAGGCAAAGGAATTGCGATACCGCAGCGGGCTGTGTTTGTGTGTGTGTTTCTTGTCACCTATACGTTGGGTCATACGGCTAGCAGAGTACGGTGTCACGCCTTGCTTTTATTGTTTGGCGCCGCGCAAAGGTTGGCGTCGTCGTTTCGAACCTTCCCGCGCGATATAAAAATTTGTCACAGCCGCTTTGATGGCCTGGTCGTGGAGAGTGTCGTCCTGGGCCCTGACCTCCCCCGACCACCTCTGGCGGGGTGCTCTGCTGCGGATGCACCACCGCGGGATGCACTTTCAACTCAATGCCCGCGCGGGACGGTGGTGGCGTTTGGTTGGCAGCGGAGCGGGGGCGCGGCAGGTTGGTTGGCGGCAGTAGCAAAAACAAACTGGGCTCGAGCCGAGCTGTACCCTTCGCGCGCTGCCCTGCCCCGCATGAGGGGCGCGCGCCGAGTGACGGGCGATAACCAGCTCAGCCCAGCCCGGCCCAGCCCGCGGCGCCGCTCGGGATGTTTGGACGCCGTCAGCCGTCGGCACCGCCCGCTACTTCTGCTACAGAGTGTACACTCTGCCCGGCGGCGGAAGTATCCGTTAAACGCACTCTGAACGCCGCGTAGGCCGTTTTTGAATGCTAAATTTTGGTGTTCTTTCAAGAAGACTGCCCATGTTTGGCCACTTCCAATGCCAAATTTTGGAATTCCAAAAGTGTCATATACAGGCTGAACACGGGCAGTGTCAAAAAGAATTAATGCCAACATTTGAGAGCGCAAAGCGCAAAGCGACCACGACCACGACCGCGGTGTTGTGTTGTGGTGAGCCTCGCAAGCTGCACTGGATCGTGCGGTGCGGTAAGGCGTGTCCGGGACCGAGAAGATGCGTTTGTGGACGCCCAACGAGATGCCGGGGCGGGGCGTCGCGTCGCGGCCGTGCATCCGGGTTGCAATTTAGCACTTACTTCCTCGGGTGCGGCTGCTGCTGCTGCTGCAGGAGTGGCCCTGCTTCCTCCTGCCGCCGCCCGGCCAGCAGTCTCATAATTGTTTGACCGTGGGAGTGCCCCGCGTGTGCATGTACAGGGTGTTGCAAGCGCGGCCCGCCTTGGGACGAGTGAGAGGGCGATGCATGCGCTGTATATATACAGCCCGCCTGCTCCCACGCTCCGTCAACCGGCCGTGTGAGGATGGCCAGGCTGTCCGGGCCACTCCAGGACCACGCGCGGGTCCGGTCCGGCTGGCAACACAGGTCATTGCATGCTGCGGCTGGCTGCGCGGAAATGCCGCTCTCGTGAGAATTTGGCGGCAACGGAGCGTGGGTGTGGACAAACGCTGAACCGGACCAGCTCTTGCCGGCGCGAAGCTGCAAATAATAGTCGCTGCGGTGTCTCATGCTTGTCTTGTCTCTTTCCTGTTGCAGGGCGCGGGCGGGGCCGGGCACCCCGTGCTGTACGAGCTCAGCAGCAAGTACGGCCTCCGCACGGAGCAAGTGCCCGAGTCGGAGCTGCCCAACATGCTGGAGGACCTCAAGGAGCACATCCGGCGCGAGATCCGCAAGGAGCTCAAGATCAAGGAGGGCGCCGAGAAGCTGCGCGAGGTGGCGGCCGACCGCCGCTCGGTGGCGGCCATCGTCAAGGCGGCCAACGGGCGGCTGTGCGAGCTGCAGGCCGAGCTGCACGAGCTGGAGGGCCAGATCATCCTGACGCAGGGCCTGGGCCAGGTGCAGGTGCAGTCGTACGGCCTGCCCTATGGACAGCCCACGCTGCTGCAGACGCCCGCGACCCCGCCTAGCTCGCACCACAACGGCAGAGGTAAGTGTCTCAGTACAGTCCGACTCGGGGTGAATCAGCCGCACTTGGCCACAGGGCAGGCGGGCGGGCGCTCCAGAGTGGTGGGTTTTCGTCTCGATAAGCGGTTTGGCGGTGAGGTGTCGCGCCCCCGGCGCCCCGCCCGCCAGCGCACCGTCTTTGCGCTGGTCAGGGTCGAGGCCGCGGGGCGGTGAGGCGGCGGTGGTGTCGCTGCCAGCCAGCTGTGCAAGCGGGGCGCGGGGCGGGGCGGGGCGGGGGGCAGTGTCGGTCGCGCATCTCGCGACGCTAGCACCTGCCGCGGCGAGGACGCCTGCTTCTCATTCATCGGCTGGACGCGACACTGATCCCCCGTTCGTTTCGCGCTGGGGTGCAACTGCGGCCGCCGGGGGGCTCTACTCGCCATTCGTCTGGATTTGGAGCCGCCCGGGGAAAGTGCGCGGCGGACCCACACCCGGAAGTCGTGGCCCGGTCCCGGTGTCGGGCCCGACCAGCTTTTGGTCGGGTCAGGTTCAGGTCGGGCGCTGCCGAAGGGGCTCGCAGCGCTTGAGCAGCGGCACCTTGGCATCTCGGCAAAATTAAAAGCCGCTCGGCGAGTCGGGCGCCGCGCCGCGGCGGGGCCAGGGATAGACGTAGGCGGGGGTCAGCCGGGTCCTCGCCGACGTGTTGGTGGGCGGGGCTGGGCGAGGCATCCCGGCCCGGAGTGACGGACGAGGAGGCGCCCCCGACTGATGACCCTTTCGGCACCCTTCCCCCTCCGCCGTGCATGTGCATGGCCGACACCTGTATGACGCAAGGGAAGGGGCAGGGGGCGAGCCGAGGTCCAGCCCCCCCCC